CACACACACACACACACACACACACACACACACACACACACACGCACGCAGTCCTTACCGACATAGCCAGGGGTCCCACAGGCTGTGGACATCACATCACCTTTACCCTCCATTTTGGACAATCCAAAGTCACTGATCATTATTTTGGATTCCTCATCTTGACTGTAGTACAACAGATTTTCAGGCTGGAAAGAAAATAAGGGGAAAAAAAATTTACAAACTCTGTTTACAGCTGGTTAATTGTGGCAGACTCACCAAACCACAAAATCTACCTACTATTCAAAAATATACTTGATCTTTAGACAAAGTGAACGCATTAAGAAAAGCAGTTTTTAATAAAGCGCCATAGAGGGCCGTGCACAGCAGAAGGTACTTACTGGTTTTCAATAAATGTCAGTGCCTTTCCCCTTATCAACATTTTCTCTACTTAAAACAAAAATTTAACCATATTTGTAGGCAATCTAGTGTCAACAATAATATAAACGAAACCACTTTAAAATGGAGCTGGAGTTGCCATGTCAGAGGAACCACCTTTTGTGTTCTTGCGCGTTTTATACCTCAGACCTTGGAATGTTACAAACAGGGCAAAATAACCTTTAAACTGGGCCTAGGGCAACATCGTTTCCTAATAATAATAATAATAATAATAATAATAATAATAATAATAATAAAACTGAAAACTATTTGCAAAGATAACAAGAAAGTAGTTATGATGACTACTGGGCTAAATTTTAAAAACATTATTTAGAATTTGCATCACTATGTTGTATTACCTGCACCGACAGACATGCCTTCCTTCTATGGATGGAATTGTTCCCTTTCCCTTTCTCATAAATACCCATTGCCTTGGTCTTCTAATCAGAACATTATTTGGGCTTCTGCCTGACTGAATGATACCCCAATAGCCACCTATTATTGTTGGTCTCAAACGCTTGTTGCCTCTCACTTTCAAAGGTCTTTTTATTTTTAGGTCAGCACTAGAAAGTGGATGCTTCTGACTTGTCGATTCATTTCCTGGGTTTGGGGAAAGGGGAGTCCCAGAAATAAAATGACTTTTGCAGGTGCTGCTTTGTTCCTTTCTTCAGATCCCTGTTAGCACCTTTCTCTACTCCAAGGCCTGTCCCTCTGCCCTCGGTCACACCGGGCCTGTAGCTGCTGCCTGCACTTTCTCCTTTCCTGAGCCAGCTGACACCTGCTCATTCTGCTTCCTGGGAAGCACCCGGGTGTGATCAGGGAATGAATCGGAGTTGGAAGGTCCAGCACCTTCCAGCCACGTGTCGTTAAGTACCCGAGCTTCTGTTTGCCTTGCTGTGAAACAGGAATTGCAATGATTCCTCTTGTGCTTCCCTGAACAGAGCGGGGCAGGACTCAGGCAGCAATAAGGCCCCTCGCCTAGCCCAGGCCTGGTCACTGCTCCTGTCTCCAGGACAGCTCTGTGCAGCAGAGCCCCTGCACCCAAGGGGCTGAGGGGGAGATAGCGAAGCTTCATTTTTATAGCGTTTTATGTAAAACTAGGGACTCTCACTGGTCTCTGCAGAGCATGGGCACAGGGCTTGTGGAGCCCGAGCGAGGTGTCACAGCCTCAGAGCTGCCCCTGCACTGCTAGGGTGAGAACCTGAACACAGAGGCACTCACATATATTTTTTTTAATCTGTTTTTGAAGAGTTGCTTAATTAATGATGTCATCACTGAGGGAGATAATGTCGAGGACTGACACCTCTGCTGTCAGCCAGTTACGTCCCCCCACTAAGAATATTCTGAAGATGTACCGAGTGAAAAGCATGCCTCTCATTTACACCACACCTTAAAGGAAATGCAACAAGAAGAATCTTAATTAGGGAACTCATTTGCCCGCACCATTTCCTGTCTGGCTCTCTTCCCAACCCCAAGAGCAAAGCAATATTCTCTCTCGTCAGTGGCTTGTGGTGAATCTTTGGTTTCTGCCATATGACATTTTAGGAACTATTCCTATGTAGAGTGACTAGACATGTTCAGAAAAGAGGTTCTAGGCCTAGTTGTGCAGCAGAATCAGCTGTGAGAACGCTAAATGTCCAGATATGTTGTTGTCCAGTAGACTTGGGCCTGGGGCAGGCCTCAGGGTGCTACAACTCCGAGGGGTGTCTGAGGTGCACCCACCGCTGCTGAGAAATTGTGAGAACTGACCAAGACTCCCTCAGTGGAGCCCTCTCATCAACTAGACCTCGACCTTGGCTTTCTGTGCCCTCCTGTCTTTGCTAGGCCTGCAGAGCCCAGTCTTTGCAAGAATCCTGCTAAGTCAGTTTAGAGAGAATTATTCTAGATCTCTGGTCAGGTTGTTCACTCCCCACCTTTGATATTGTTAAAAAATATTATTCTGATACTTGTTACAGATGGTAAGGAAGGCTTTATTCAGGGGGAGTACTGAAACGGGGTATGCGGTCGGGGAGAGGCCGGACTCAATTCTGAACATGGCAAGGCCAGAGGAGGGTTACAGCCAGAACAGGGTGGGGAGTCAGTGGGTGGAAAATGACTAAGAGGGGGTATCAAGGCTAAGGGAGGTTCTGGATACACTGGCTTGACAGGAGTTTGCTAAAGGCAGGCCAGGGTGTTTAGATATGGAGAGTGGGGGACAAGGAATCTGGTCAGGTATCCTAAACTAACTCAGCAGGGCTCTCGCTAAGACTGGACCATGTGGACAGAGTCAATGGACACAGGACAAGCCCAGGGTCAGGGCCTAGTCAGAAAGGCTCGGGGCGGGTGTGGGAGGGAGGGGGGTTCCAAGTCAAGTTTGGTCAGTCTCCTTTGTCTGTCAATGTCTAAGTCCTTGACCTGCCTTTAGCAAAAAGCCCTCCACCCTTGATGTCTCCTCTTACTAACTTTCCATCCATGACCCCTCACTCCTCTCAACAGCTATACATCCCCACGTGTATGGCTGAATTTGGAGTTGGACTCAATCCTCTCCCCTATTACAATACCCCTCTTGCAGCAGTCTTGAATAAGGGCTTCCTTACCATTTTCACAAAGGTCAGAATTATTTTTTTCTTTAATAGAACCCAGGGGGGCATGGGACCCGCTATCCTTCACCACAAATAATAACACAAAAAGGAATGGCATTTCACAGTCACCATGACACTAATTCTGTGGACAAAGCATGAGATCAAAAGAAAATCAATGCATGCTTCAGGATGTTTTCAATGAGTTTTAAGAGGATCAAATGGGCCAATCAATTGAAATGAGAATAACGCTTAGAAAGTGGGGGGAAATGATCTAACCAAAAAGTGCATGTGGTTCTTGTTTTCTCTGAATGTTTAGGGGTTGCCCTTTGTGAACAGTCAGGATCTGTCATGGGTGCAGAGAGAGGCCTTTTTTTGTTTAAGCTTCTGATTTTTAATCTTTCTTGTCTCAGCGCTTCCACATCTGCAAAGTCAGCGATCTCATGATCCTGACCCAGGCTTCGTCCAGGCAAGAGATGGCCAAAGGGCCCCTATTACTCTGTATACATTCCTCCCACAGGAGACTCACCGGATCAATAAAGTGCTCTTTTGGAGAACAATTACCCCTAAAGAGGGTTCAGTGGACTACTCATTCATACTTTAGATCAATACTTTTAATTGGCTCAAGACGAGTAAAGAAGGCGGGGCTTTTTGTTGGGGGTGGGGGGGACAGGGAGGAAAGTGGGAGAGAGGACAGGCTCAGCGACCATCTGGATGGAGGCCCCAGGTGGCAGTAGGAGGTCTATGGGAGTGGGGGAGGGGATCTACAGTTTTAGGAGGGGTCCCAGGAGGCCCAGGACTCACCTGAAAAATCAGCTTTCTGTATTTCATGACACTTTCACAAGACAATGGGTGGCCAACACCTAAGGTGAAAGGTCAATCCCAACCCTTTAACATCTGCATAACAAGCTTGTAAAAGATGTCAATCAACATGTCTCATAAAGTGCATGTTATCCATAATCACCCTAATCCAGTGATTCTCAACTGGGGGAAGTTGTGCCCCCCCCAGAGGACAGTTGGCAATGCCTACTGGTTGGCACAATGATATGAGTGCTGCTGGCATCTGGCGGGTGGAGGCCAGGGGTGCTGATAACATCCTACAATGCACATAACAGCCCCCCACAAAGACGATCCAGCCCCAAATGGCACTAGTGCAGGGCGGAGAAGCCCTACTCTCATCTCAGGCAGCAGTGGACATTTCCTGTCGCAATCCCTTGTTTTGAAAAAAAGACAACTGATCGGCTCTAGCGGCTTCCCCGGGCAAGGTGACACAAGAATACCTTTCTGGAGGAAGAGAAGTATATTTGCATGTGGGGGTGGGACAGTATCCCCGATTGCGCCCTAATTTTAAATTAACACAACCATGCTGTTTCTCTAGCCTAGATCATACAGTTTGTTTTAGTTTTCTTAGATGTTTATGAAAATTTAATATCAACTTCCTCCACATAGATCAAATTCCTTTGTGCCTCTGAAAAGAGATCACAGAAAGGTCCTAAAACGGCAATGTTCGTTCCACAACTACAAGCCTGGGGGTGATTTTAAAGCCCCATAGGCTGAGAGCTGGGAGTATTTCTCCCAAAGCGTTATGTGGGGGCGGAAAACAGTATCTCCCATCCAGCCAATCTGCCCTCCTACGGAAAAAGTAAACATTGCCCCTCTAGGAAATGGCTTATCTGCTTAGAAATTATTTCTAATAAAGACAGCTAGCCCACCACATCAGATCTCTGTGACTGTCACACTAACTTGTTCAGGGAGAGCTGCCTGCTATGTTCCGGAAGCACAGAATTGGCATTGGGCAGGGTACAAGAGAGCAGAGAGGGCCGCTACCTGTGCCAGGCAGGTGGGCTTAGCCTCACCTAGCCCTCTGAAGGATCTCCGGGGCCTGAAGATTAGCTAAGCGTGTCCACAGCCCTTTTCCCCTGTCAAGAAGCCTGCAAAGGGCGAAGGGTAAGGACTTGATCAACATTCCCAAATACCCTCATCCAGCGGCTCTCCGGAAGTGGTTCTCAGGCCAATACCAGCATTACTTGTAAATCCCTTAGAAATCCAAGTTCTTGGGCCCCCCCTGCAGACCCACAGAATCAGAACATCTCGGGTGGGGACAACCATCTGCGTTGGCATGAGTCCTCCAGACAGTTCTGATGTAGGCTAACATTTGGGAGCCACTGCCCTTGTCGATGGAAACCAATAACATGGAGAGAACAAGAGAAACCTTTACAGTGAGTCCTTATTAAAAGAAAGCTACACCATTTCCTACCTTGACTCCCAGTACCGGATAATGGGAAGACGCTGAAATTGCATTTTCACTAATGTTTAGGGTTGATTCTTTAAACTGATTTAGACTCCCCATAGTCATGTCTAGTGTAGCTTCAGTACAATATAATCCCCGTGTTTATGATATGAGTGGAGGGTATGCGTGCTGGGGTGGAATTTCTACCCTAACTGGTGCAGTGAGCTCTGGGGGTTAGGCCTGTGACTGATGTAGAACGAAGCCACATTACAGCCTTGGGTCAGCAACACTCATTGTACTACTCCTCAAATTGATATGCCCGATACCTACATAGACCCAGAGAGAAATGTATTGCCAAGGGGCCCAAATACAACCCAGATCCTTCAGTGCTATTGGGTGAAGGGTCAGGGTGCCAAAACCTCACAAGGAAAGGTAAGAAAGGAACCTCCAAGACATTGCAGAAGGCTGTAATTGCAGCTCATTTTTCCTGATAATCCCTCATTTCCCCTCTCTCTTATCTCATGCCCCGTACCCACTTGCTTCCTTTCTTTCATACAATGTGTTGTGCTGACATTGGCCAGAATTGGGTAGAAATGGAAGAACTGTGAGGGGAGGGTTTTGGGGGCCTCTATGTCTTGAACAAAATTATCTGTTAGATAGGCTTGAATCAATACATAACCTACCTCCTGGTGGCCCTTTGGCAGCATAATGATTATAAAATCTCCCAGACACTGGCTAGCCCCATTGATCTTTCAAGCTACTTCTGGGTCCCAAAGGCCCCAGTGGCTAACAGGACACCAATGCCCATTTATTCTACCCATATCTACATCAAGGCAACCCCATCCGTCCTCTGGAGCCAATCCTCTTGGACAGGTGTATTGTGGGTTGGAGAGCAGCTGGAGTATGTTGCTAAGTGACGGCCTCACCTTGAGGTCCCTGTGGACGATGCCCATCCTATGGAGATAGTAGACAGCATCCAAGACCTGGCGAATCAGAGTGCTGGCATCTTTCTCTGTGTAAAATCCTTTCTCCACTATCCGATCAAACAGCTCTCCTCCAGATACACTATTCAAAAAAAAAAGGGAAAAAATTAGAAGTCTGAGAGGCTCTATTGACTCATTCAGGGAAAACCATCAATAAGAGCTTTCAATATGAAGAAAGACCCAAATTTTATTTTAAAAATGAAACCATTTTTAGAGTCAGGTTTTGCCCCACCTATTCCCAAAAAGCTGACACCTGGGAGGTGCTTCTATGTCTCTGTGGCACAAATTTCCGGAGTAAAATAAAGGGAATAAAAATAAGCCAGGACCACAGACTAGCCAGGCTTGACAAGCCTCTCCTGGCCCCTGCTTCCACGTTGCTGTGACAACGTAAAGTCATATACCCTTCCAGAAGCATCACCAGATAGAGAGATGCTGCTGGACAAGATGTCTCCTTTGTACAAGAGAGTATTTTTGAAGAACCCGGGGTTTGGGGTGCTGTGGGCAAAGCCCCGAGCAGCCAACAGGATGTCTGGGGTTTTGACCAATTTTCCAAAAACAAAATGAAAAAGAGATTTATTTGAAACATTAAAAGCATAAAACAGTTTCATAAACAACTTTTACAGCTTTAACAGAGTAAAAGGCACGCCCTGGCAGTAACTCTCACACACACACACACACACACACACACACACACACACACACACAGCTATGACTCATTTTCTGCAAGTCACGGCAATTAATGGGCAATAACTGAACCTCTGATACTTCTTTTTTAAAAAACCAATAAAGGAAACACATTTACAGCTATAAAAGGCCCCGTGTTACCTATAGTTATTCTAAGTAATACTGTGCTTGGATAACATCTTGTTTCCAAAGCAAACTGAGCAAACTAGATAAGAAAGGAAAGACGTCCCAGAGAAATAAAAAGCAATTCAAAGAGTGAAAAGAAACTGAAACCACTAGGGAGAGACTACATTTTAACCACCAAGTCATCTGAACGAGCCCTCCTTAGGTAAACCCAAATCCCAAAACATCCTCTCTCAGCAACTGACACCAAGTTCTAGCCACTCTTCATTTTTCTAGAACCTTCTTCCTATGCAGTTCAATGTCTGAAACTTTGCAGAGCTTGAGGGTTTAGGACAGATGAACTGCTGCCAGGGGCAGGGTGACCCGGGTGCCTTCTCTAGACTTGGTCATTTATTCAACCACTCATTCAACATTTCCTGGGGGTTGGCTGGTTATGTGCCAGTTACTGTGCACACCTTACTAGTGTCACAGTGCCTTCTTACTACTCCCATCCTCTAATCTGCAGCTGCTGCAGGACCTCAGGCAAAAATGCTCACCCACCCTTTGCATGACCCGCACTTTGTCAGACCCTCTCCCTCTCCCAAAACTGATCTTTTCCCGCCTCCCATTCTCTCAAAGCCCTCTTTTCTGCTATATGACACATAAGGTGTCAGTCGATGCTATTGAATTGAAGCACTAGACCTGAAGTGTATGACACTGTTGTAGTATGTATTGTCACAGAGTACAAATTCTCTGCACATTTTATATCTCTCTTCTTAAATTTCAAATTGCACCAGGGCTGTATTTTCCTGGACAATGCTCAGAAAGGATTTGGTTTCCTTAGAAACCAGGGCACAGGGGAAACGTTTAAAAACTTGCCAAAAAAAAAAAAAAGTAACAATACTAATAAAAACACCTCAGATTTGCAAATCACTTCATGCTTTTCAAAAATCTTAAGGGTACATTTCAAAGGCCTGAATGTTTATGCCCCCCACCAAATTCCTATGCTGAAGTACTAATTCTTAATGGGATGGTATTTGGGAGTGGGGACTTTTGGAGGCGACTAGATTTAGACAAGGTCGTGAGGGTGGGGCCCCTATGATGGGATTAGTGCCCTTATACGAAGAGGAAAGGGATCAGTGCTCTCTCTCTGCCATGTGAGGACTCAGTGAGAAGGTGGCTGTGTGCCAGCCAGGAAGAAAGCCCTTAACAGAAACAAAATCTGCCGACACCTTGACCTTGGCCTTCCCACACTCCAGAAATGTGACAAATACATTTCCATTGTTTAAGGCACCCCGTCTCTGGTATTTCATGATAGGAGCCTAAGCTAAGATACCCACTCATTTTCAAAACCACTTGTGAACAACCAAAATCCCCGAATCACTAATAAGAAAAATAAGGTTCCAATTGTGGCAATGGGCGTGTCTCATTTTCAGGCCTGCAGACCATGGGTAGGTTGGGTGGTCGGCTACTGATCTGACAGATTGCTCTCTGGAGTCAGTATCCTCCTATGGCAAACTTCCTATGTGCACAGAGTTTCCCAATTAAATAATGCAAAGCATCAGGATGCAGTTAGAAGCATCGGGGGTCCAATGACTGGGGATAAGAAGTAGAACCATAATAATAGATCAATAAATCAAATGAATAAGTGTAGCTACTGAGAGAGAGACTCAGCTGTGGGGGGTGCAGGTATGCAAAGATAAACTGGCTACTGAAGATTAAGGGAGAAGACAGAGAGATGGTTCAAAAATCCTCTCTTCTTCTCAATTCACACTTTAACATTGATTTAGAACCACTTGCCTTTGCCTGGATGTTGGGTTTGCTCAATCTCTGATCGCCCTTGCCTATTACAATGTAATGCTATCATAGAGTATGTGAATTTTAAATATGCAAATGTGAAATAGCTTGATGTGATAATCTCTGTAATATTTCAGCTTATTTGAAAAATTTTAAGTAGTGCAAATCCTTTCAAATTCAAGAATAATTGTCAAGAAGCATAATTTCAAAGTTACTGGATCGAGTAAGTTATGAGCTCCAATTCCACTATGGTATTCTGTAATGCAATATAACTTTGTCGGTATATCATGTGTACTGTCAGTACTGGGTAAACCCTGCTGTTCTTTACATGCACTTGACTTTCCCCATCTAATTTTAATAGATATTTTCCTCTTATTTTAAAATTTTAATGTCAATTATTATACTTAAAATGTTTTATGCCTTGTAACAATATCATCCACACATTCACTAAAAGGTAGTACTTGTGTTAATTAGGAACACTGGGCTCCAAAAATCTATTACTCTAGAAGTTAGAGACGATAACATAAAATGAAGAAGGCTGGAGGAAACCAGAATAGGTCACCCCAAAATATGCCGCTTTGACATAAAAATTATTTTGAGCTGAAGGCAATTAGGAAGCAGTAAAAGTAGGAAGGCAAGAAATAAATTGTCTTTTTTCGTGGAGACAGACTCACCAGCCCAGAGACAACACCAGACAACTGTGTAAACCAACCTCACCGTTATCGCCTTGCTTGCTTCTTCACCGTTTACCACCCCTAGCCCAAATCTCCGTCTTGTCAATTCTCCACAAATTTCTTATTTGTCTAAAAGGTAAAAAAGCTTCCTGCTATGGTCACGTCTTCAGGTCTTCGTTCTCTTGTGAAGACTCTCATATACACGGAAAAATTCCACACAGTATATATGCTTTTCTCCTGTTCATCTGTCTTTGTCAGTTTCATTTTCAAACCCAGCCAGGGACCCTAAGAGGGCTGTGAGGAATGTTTTCCTCTCCCCTTCAAGGCCAAATGGTATAGGGCTGTGCTGTTAATTTCAGACAGAGTAGTCTGAGAAATATTAGCCGTGATGTGGGGATAATAACAAAGCAGTGTTGCAGCAGCTATGCCTTGAAATTCACAAGGGCTGTCACAGAGCTAGGCGGCGAAAGAGGAAAAGAACTGGGTGACACGGCTACAAGAGCAATGTGGTCCCAATGTACCCCAGAGCTAGGCTTGGTTATAAATGTGCATTTGGGGCCGGCCGAGTGGCTCAGTTGGTTAAGAGCTCGCTCAAGAGTTTGAGCTCTGAGCAACAGCGGTTCGAGTCCAGCCCGAGCTGAGCAGCNAGGGCGTGGTGGCTGATGGCTCTTAGCTGAGGCCCTCCACGGCTTTTCCCTTGGCATAAAAGTGCTGCTAGTCCAAAGCCGTTGCCCCCACCCTGGGGACAGCGCACATCCAATGACTAGATAATAAGAGGATGGCAATGTCCACCTCCCCACTCGTTTTAAGGCAGGAGAACTCCTGGGCCAGCCCAGCTCCAGGGCTCCCGGGATTGGCTAAGGCTCTGGCAGCAGCACCCTGCAGCTCACCTGGCCCCGTGGCCCTGCCTACTTCCTTCCCTCCAGGCCGGTGCGGATCCTGACAGCTCTTCCCAGAAAACCAGCAGCAGCCCAGCTGCTCCTTCAGAGGCTCTTTCCAGGGAACTAGGCCCAAGACTAGTTCATATCCTACATATCCCTAGTACATACCCTCTCTGTTCGTACATGTTTAAAAATTTTCATATGAAGAAGGGTAGAAACCCTAACAGTTCCCCAAACTGAAGTACCACAAACTCTAGGAAAAATGTGTCTGATATTTCACAGACTCTGTAGCAGATACTAAATTTGTTGTTCCATGAATTCTAAGCAGAAGCCTGGCCTCATGAGCAGTACTTTCCTTGTTCTTTCACGAGGACTGAGATGCGTTTATGTGTCTGTTTAGATGGACTGTTGAACTCAGAAGGTCTCTTCTCACCCTGTCTACAATAGTTTCAAAACTGTTTGGTCCCTGCCAAGCACGAAGGAAGGAAGACGAGAAAATTTGAGAGTAATCAGACCCCCAGAAAGGCAATGAGGCTCCAGGAAAGTCTGTATCCAACTTCAATTTAAAGTCCATTTCTTTCCTACACTTACCATAAACACATGCTGTGCTAGAAAGCCTGCAGGCAGGAGGATAAGATGTGGGTGATTAAATTATTCAAAGTCACTGATACTGAAGCATTTTAGAGAGCATTCCACGTATTTCATTTGTTATATTGAAAGGATGATCTGGAAACCCCGTTTCCTTAGAGATTACAGGAGCCACCAATTATCTGAAATTGCTTTGCTAAAAAAAAAAAAAATTTTTTTTTTTAAATCCCAAGTATTTTTAGAAATCTCTGGTTAACTTCCCATTATTAGTTGCCATAGGCCCATTATATGAATGCTGGTACTATACTAAATGTCCTCAACCAAAGAGATGTACATTATTGATTTTGTTACAGTGG